ACTGACAGCGTGTTCTACATTAAACCTCCATGATAATTCATTTAATCACAGGAAACGAGAAGTGGTGGCCTCTGGCAATCCGTAACTATCCATCGGTGGTGCGGTTATCAGCAGTTGCTTCATTAAGGTGCTCGTTGGAAAAAATAACTGATAAACTTTCTACTTTAAAAGTTGACATAGTATTAACAATTTATCATTGAAATAAATCGCTGGATTTTAGAGAGATTGATCTGTCCGACTTCATTGTTGGGCTGGCCGATAATTTATTCCTTGAATAAGAATAATATTTCTGCGTCAACTCAATAAACAATTTTACTATTAATATTTAGATCAAAGAGTCATCTAAAGGCAGCATCAAGGCAAATGGTTGAAGTGAGGCAAGTGGTAACTACTGTCGCTCGTTATCACTTTTCAAAACTCCAACACGCATCTGCTTTGCTTAAAAAGTCATAAGTGAAATTTAAAACTTACGATAATAATCGAGCTGCGTATGCATTCCAGCCGATGAGGAAATCGACCCAGTTGTGATATCCGGATTTTGGGCCCGAAACCATGCAGATAATGACCCTGTATTGATCATTTATATGTTTGGTGTTTTTCGAAACATAAATATCGAATCAGAAATTGAAAAAAAAATTATGCCAATAATGCGATAGTGAGAAGACCTGGATAGGAGCCACCAAACATAATCCAACGTGTTTTCACGTTTGGGAAGAACTCCTCATTTATGTTTAGGATGAAATTTCTCAAATCAGCAAGTGCTTGCTCGATAGAAAAGTACTGATAGCTTGCCGTGGACATATCTCTGCAACACAACCCGATTATCGCTCGTTTCTGCGGGAACGCATTAACAAGCTTGCAACTAATTTCTGTCGCAGGCAAAAATCGGCAAGGATTGGTAATTTGCTGCATTTGATAGCAGCACTTGTATCAAACATAATGATGCGATTGGCATACATACGCATTAAATGCGCTCCAGCTGCTATACGAAGCAGAAAAGCTGGTGGTGTAGTGGATAGCACGTCGCGTCTGAATGTGAAAAGGAATGTTTCGATTCTTTCCTGGTTTATAACAATTTTCAGAAAGGGACTCTGTCTGCAACAATTCTCGAATGAGGAAGCCATCAACAATTTTGCTGACAGGATACTGTCAGCTAAGCGACAACTTCCCACATGCTTTAGTCTACTAAGGATGAACGCAACAAAAGATTCGAATTTTGACTTTGACTTTTGATAAGAATTTATAGGGAAGTTTGTTTGAAAAACTAATTTCCAAGGAAAAATCAGCTCAAAAACACAGCATTTGCGAAACGGCGCGTTAAACTAACTTTTCACATTGTAATTTCAAAGGCTTCCTCAGTGACTAAATCCAGACTGTGCGTTATATTCATGGATATCCTGAGTTCCATGACAGCAACAAAAGGACTGTAAAACTAACCGTTTAGGATGGCTATCGCCGTAAAATCGATGTTCTGGCAGGAATGCGGCAGCTTTGTATTTTCTAGCCCAAACCAGCCACATGTACGATGTGTCGGCAATCCATTTATAGCTTATTTTTGATTCACCGCCAATCATGCAAAACACTAGGCCGCTTCCATTATAAAACTGCATGTTGTACAAGTAATGCTGCAAAATTTCACTGGCTATCTTTCGAAATGCGCGGCTTTGAACTGATGGCGAAATTTAGTCCTCTATGAATCTGATGGATCGAAACATCCCATCTCTGCGTTTTAGTTCACCTTTTCTTTTAATTTTGAATATGTGCACACTTAGAGTAGAGTTGTTGCTATTAGAGTGAAAGGGAGGGAAAGAATTTCGATAACATTACTATCACGGAATTCCTGATAGTGGCCTGTGAAAAGAACAATAAAATTGAAATTTTCACAATATTTTAGGCACTTTTTTTAAACAAAAAAGCATGCTTTCTGAAGTTAAGATTAATGCCGTGAAAAGTACAGTATTTTAATAATAGGAAAATAGCCTCAAATTGTTGTTTTAAGAGTCGTCAGGAGAAAAAAGAGAAGACAGCCTTAAGTTTATAAAAAATTTCAGTGAGGAATGTTTCGGTCCACTAGCTCGTTTACTTCTGCTTTGGCAACACAACTGAACCTTGTCAGTTGATGGTTGTGTTATTGCAAAGAGTAAATCGAACTTTTTAAAAAAAAAATTTCTGATGACGCTTGTAAAAATTCATCCTTAAGGATGATCTGTGAAATTCGATAGAGTCAGTAAGAAAAAGGAATGTTGCTCACTTGCTTCCAACTGAATATATTGAGTGGATCGAAATGGTCCACTGGTTGATACACAACGCCTTTTTTTACTTGATCATTCAGTACTGTCGGTGCAGCAAATTTGTGGACATCGGAGTGGTCCAGAAAACCACCAAACGGACGCCCAAAGACGGTTGCAGGCATGTGGCGTGGGCGCTTGCGCCCATCGCAGCAAAGCAGAAACGTGGCTACTAACCAAAGTAGCACGGAAAACATCAACCTGAACAAATGAACCGTTAAAATGTTCATCAGATACGGTAAAAGACAAATTGTATAGCTTATTAGAAGCTAAAAACTGATTTCGAGTAGAATTTGATTCACTTGTGAGATACCAGTCTTCCCCTGTAATTCGTTTATTCGTTTCGATGGTAAATTGGTACTGAAGCATTTTAGTGGGTCAGGTCTAAATCGCCATCAGCTTGTTTCTTAGCATCTCCCTGAAAAGCGAGCCAACTACAAGCTTGTCAGCGAGAAGTTGCTATTTGTGTGTGTTACCATTTGGCCTATTTCTGAAAGCTTTCGCTTTTCGCAGAAAGCAAATATGAAAGGTGTTTTGACTTTTTATGCATTTTTTTTTTGTTTTAACAGCGGTGCAAAACATATAACGTTAAGAAAATGTTTTTGTGTGCCTTGAGAAGTTTGTTCAACTTTTTCAACTCAGCAACTGGAAAATTTAGGAAATTGAAATTTTATGAGTATATTTCAAGCTCACTTGCACCTTGAAAAGTAACCAAATCTCTTAGAATGAGCTATGGAAGAGATTTTGTCAATGACTAGAAATTGAGGCACAAAACGGCTGTTTGTAGATATTTTTTCAAAGTGATGTACCCTTCTTTCGCAGTGCACTTAATTTCTGCTAATACCACCGAAGGATCTGTTAAAATTTTACAGTTTTTTGAGAAAAAGCAAGGACATTAGCTCAGTCCATAATTTTAAATGCATATCTAATAGCAAATCTCGTCCTGAATCGCCAACGCTCAGTTCCAAGACAAAAATCCACCTGGATTAAGTATTGAATATTTGTGCACACTTTACTTCCGTCCCATCTTTCAACCTCGTAATTCAACTTCTACAACCAAAGCAAATAATAAAATCTGTCATGATAAATTAATAATCGTACAGGGAGGGCAAAAATGATGGCAGCTGTG